CCTCGCCCGACGGACTATTGCTGAATTATTGAATGCCCAGCAGCCTAGCACACAGTGGACCTTGCCCACTCTATTTTTTCGGGTGTCCAGAACGTTGTTGAGTCGAGCTACGAACTTTCGTGAAAAGTGCCGCCTACTGAGAGAGGGCCTCGTCCACCGCGCGGGGGTGTCAATTATTACATTTGTTGACCCATTCCTCTCACTGCTCAAGTCCCTTACGTCTGAGTTGCTATGGAACCAAATTAAGAACCACCCACTCTTCTGCATGTCCCGCCTCTTGTAGGTGGAGGCGATCACATGCACTCTGTCGATCTTGCCATATGGCCAATCCATTCCGAACTTGATCCGACCTTTGCAAGTGGTTCACCAGGTAATATCCAACTCCGTGGCAGACAGACAAAGGGACGGACGCAAGTGCTTAACACATACATAGTGGAGAATTGTTCAAAGCGTCAAAATTCAAAATTCATCAACAACTACATATTGTCTCAAAGTCATAGTAATGAGCGAATATGAAATCTACCGGCGCATTCCGTTAACATGGCTGTCATTACTGGGCCGGGGACTAAAATCACTGGCATCAAGTCAAATAACTAATCGTGTTCAAACAAAGGTTCAATAAATGGTTAAGAAATCAGAAAAAAAGTTGGTCCACTGACAGCTTTTACTACTTTATACATTCGATTCCGAAACGCGTTTGAAGTCTAGCAGCAAATTTTGGTGGCATCAAAGAAATTACTCAAACCACTTTCATTGTACTTTGAACAACTCCTTAAAGAAGTATCTTATCAACTGTAAAAACATATATCTTTCGTTGTACAAACACCAGCATCATATTTTATTATGTCGACGAAAATTTTGCATTATCAGTTGAACATAAAATGTTTTACTAGATTGACGACGAAAGGAAATTTGACCCCATTAAGTTTTTGAGGAGGTTATCTCTGCTGAGATATAGCTGAAAGATACGCTACTGTTTTCTTGCTTCAGATTGCACGTAGCTAACTGAACAAAAGCCTGATAAACTGGTGCTCTGTACCGATCGGGCCACTCGACCATGTTTCTCCTAACCGTGGTAAGTGACTTTAGATCATCTAGGAATGTTGACTCGTCGAAAATAAGATCCAGATCACCACTGTGAAAGACGTCAGGTCAATGCACGATCATCGCGAAGTGGTTAAATGAAGTTCGCTGAGTAGTTGTGTTGAGAATGGTGACTGTCACCAACTTATTGAATCCCAGTTAATATACTGATGCTGCTGCAAATATGGAGGCGGATTAAGTTAGCCTTAGTCCACATCTGCATTTCGAGCGTCTTGATTAATCCTGGAGTTCACCAATTATTGGTATCGATGACCAAAACATGTTTAGTTGGCTAGATTCCCTCTTCCTGCTGCACCACGCGAAAGGCCATATTACAAAAATTTCTGCATACATTTCAATGAGATTCCTTCAAAGAAAAACTGAACGAATCGCGATATCGTGTTTAGCTTGGCAAATCCGAGAAACCTGCCTCGTCACTTCCCTGATGTTGAGGTTAGGTAGCTATGTTAGTTAGTTGTCTCGTCCCGCAGTATGCAATTTTCGAATTATCAACGGTTCCTAAATGTTGCCTCAGGACTCATATATTATGGTAAATGCGATGTGCACAAATTCAACCGTAAAACTTTGAATTTTAGGTTCTTCTGCTGCATCTGTCAGCCGAAGGGAGCTCGGAACCTGCGCCAATCTCTTACGAAGGTACTAAGAACTTTTTCACTCCACAAACATTATTTTATTTAAAATATTCAAGTAGTTGCATATAATCTTTAGTGATAAGAGCACGATTTGTCAAATGAGCTAAGGTCGGCTTTTGATTGAGTTTATTTCGTCTACTGTCAGAAAATATTCTAATGAACTGACCATTCTGGAGCAAAATAAAATAGCTGATTTTTTGCAATTTTCAGAATTCATTAGTAATTTCATGTGGTACATGAACGCTTTGAGGTCTTCTGTAGCATATGGAATGGTGGTATCAAATTATTGGGGAAAAGTAAATCAACCAACTTCTGCGAATATGTTCATGTTGGTACGTTGTTCAGTGATAAGTTCTGAGTTTGACAATGGTTTGGCTACAATCTGGAATTCAGGCAACATGAGTTAAGGGCTGAATTATATCGCGCTGCATTACGATTATTTACCTTTACTGACACATAGGGACTGAGATCTACCGAAAATCAAAAATATCTCAGTCGATTAAACAGTTCGCGGCGATTCTTCGAACTTATTATTATGAGTAGGAATGAGACGTGCCCAGAAACATGTAGAAGGGGTGGTATAGAGTGGTGAGTGGTCACGCACATTCGCTCAAATCCAGCTTCGATATCTGTCCAGACTCATGAGGTTTTTACTTTTCTTGGTCGATTAATCGGGTTACTGGTAACAGAGCAGGTGGTCATTGTAAATTAGTGTATCGCACGCCAATATAATTCTATATGAGAGTCTTTCATTCTGGAAACTTTCAGGAATACAGCCCTGAAATGGAGGTGTATGCTGCAATCAATGTACAAGGATGTCAATCATCCAACTTCATTCCGCCAGGAGGATCGTTGAATTTTGGCGTGTTGGTCCTTCCTGATTTCATAACCAAAAGGGGAAAGAAACTTAAGATCTCTTTTTTAAGGATGCATTTAAGTAAAGGAGCTTCTTCTGCCAACGCAATCGATTCTCTCAGCACAACGAATAATCATCTCTCGTAAACTTTTTCCGTTATTATTTTTTCCTGTTATCTTTTACAAAGTTGTTGAAAATTAACAGAAAAGCATTTCAACTGTCTGTTTTAAGTCGAGTTATGCCGCAAGACTACAACTACACCAAACTCGATACCGATAGGTTAGAAGATATTGCCAATGATTGGCTCACACCGTTGAATCATAATCTTACTGACAGCCAAGGCCAAGTCATTTACAACAACCGAAACTTGGAGAGCCTCGCAAACGTGAGATTTTCGCTACTTTTTCTCAAAATGTTTGTGTAGTTGACTGGTGGGTTAAAGATTCAGATGGATTCCCGGTAGTCAGTTTAATTGAGTACCACTCAATCGTTTTCCAACACTCGCCTGTACCCAAACAAGCTCGATGTGGTTGTTCCACAATGATTCCCATAATAAACTCGCTCATGTTTGTTTTCATTTAATTTCCGCTTTTTCTTTACTGGATTTGTATATGGTTCTTGCGCGGTTTGACTCTCTTACTGATTGAGGAGTGTCTTCGAGCGTAACATAGATAAAAAAACAGTTGACAAAATGTTATCAGAAGAATAAAGCCTCTGTTACATTCACAGAAGCATTGAGAATTGCCAATACATGTCATAATATGGATACGTTTACCACAAAGTTAAAAGAGGTGATGGAAATTCTATCAAAAGTTGGGTACGAAGAAGAATTCGTAAATACTAATATAGTTAGGTGAATATATGGGAATAAATTTATATGTTACAAGTTTTTATAAAGGATTATTTCAGCAAAATCACCTATTTAGTGAATGGAATTCTAAAACAGGAGTAAGCATTTCCAATAGTATTCCTCCCATTCCTTTTTCCACCATCCCCAAACCACTGATGAGCCTCAGGGGCCGTAAGGTATGTTCTCCTGTTCGGGGCTGAGACGCCCCGTTTCGTTTCTCCCCGAGAATGGCGTCCCCGGAAGCAACCGTAAGGTATGCTCGCGGGGCGTCCCAGGGGAGTCAGACATACAGAGCGGCGATGGCGCCTAAACGTTGGCAAGTTGCCAAATCTTGTATTTAGGCTTGAAAAGCTCTCAAAATCAAGATTTAACTTCAGGTTAACATAATATCTCGGAGTAAAATATCCTGGGGGTCTTATCCGGTGAGGGGGGCATCAAGTGGCTGTCCTCACCACCCACCCCCTAAACTGCCTACACTCCCCCTGCCGCACAGGTTTCTTGATGTACGGGACCCCTTGAGCCAGGGGTAGTGCAGGCAGTCTAGGGGGGGGGGGGGG